CTAACTCAGAAATAGAGTGGTTCACACATTGGTAATTTTCTTTTTTATAAATTTTCCATTAGTCTGGCCAATCAATTTTTACCTTCTGCTTGCAGGGACATCCACAGCTGAGCAACCTGCTGTGAGATGAACCATGTCCTCTTCTTAGCTGTTCACCTGCCACCTCCTGTGGAAGGTTTCACCTTCCCTCCCCTGTGGTGACACCTGTAAAATCCAGCTCTCCAAAAACTAATTATTTGCAAGCCATTCCTGATACAAAGCCCACACCAAGTAACAGCAACACCTTTTTCAGCGTTGTACAGTTCTGCTGGTCCTTGCATTTCCAAGTTGGGGCAGTGTTGGGACATGACTTTATCCCTTTGTTTTTCCCACCTGCTCCCATGTCTGCAGCATTCCTGTGCTGTTCAGGACATGCTGCAAAGCAGGGACCTTTTAGAACAAAGATGCCCTTGCCAACTAAGCCTGCTCATGAATTCTGGCTGTACACTGGGAGCCAGGGCCAGAATTTAGTTTGGACTGGCTCCACTTGCATTGGTGCATTTGTCCATTTTTTTTCTTGTTTTGCTTTATTTATTTTTTTTTTTTTTGAGCACTGAACACTGGGACCAGCAACTCTCCGAACAATCCAAGTGATATCACCTTCCAATGAGTCATGGGGAGGGCAGGGTGGAGAAGGGCAGGCAAGGAAAGATCATGAGATTGTGTTAGCTCAAACAACCTAAAAATAATGGGATATGTGTTTGGATACATGGAGGGCAGATTGCATCCACTGCCACCCACCACACAGCGTCACAGTTTTGGGAAACATGCCCATGCCTCCAGAGATTTTTACCTGCCTGGTTTTCCCCAAATATGAGCAGGATGACATTAACAAGTAATTAAAAAAAAAAAAAAAAAAAAGTATGAGCACATACTTTATTGGCACGACTGTTGCATCACCAAAAAATTAAAGTTCAGTCTTCAGATCATGTTTAGTCTGCAACATCAGTCACTTGCAAGGTGCAAACAGGCTCTTCCTGAGCTCACCTGCAGCTTTCTGAATTTCTGGATGGTCCTGAAGTTAATTATTTAGGGTTACAACAGGACTGGCAACCCTTGCCCTAACCCAGCTCTGCCAGATTCAGATTTTGCAAGATGTGGGGTGGTCTTTTATAAAATGATGGAAGGAATAAAGTCCCCAAATGGACTGTTAAGACCCCAGCATTATTATTATAAATTCAGATGGATGTCCCTAAGGTGGGTGCCACCATCTCCTGCTCCCCCATGAGGTGTTGAGCTGGATGCCCAGAGGGCTGATTTTGAGTGCACAGCAAAAGCTCCTCTTTAAACAAGACCAGCTTTCCTGTTGGGTTGTGACACAGATCCTACAGAAATCATATTTCCTGTTCTTTGATGTTGCCCTGTACTGGCCTTGATGCTTTTGAGGCCAGATCACCAAAAATTGCTCTTACAGCGAGATAACAGACTGAAGTGCTGGTGCATCACTCTCTGTTGCTATTCCTGATCTTTTATTCACATTCTGTTTCTGGACCTTGGACACATCCTTCTCTGTTTCCTGAGCTCTTCAAGTGTCCATCATTCAGTACTGACTTTCACTTATTTATATAGGAAATGTTACAAAGCCCAGCCCCAAAACCCCCTGAGTGTTGTTGCATATCCGAGTGTATGAAAGCAAGAGCTGATTTCTTCGATTTTTCCACACATTCCCTAAAAAAAACCCTCAAATCCTCTTATGTGCAGCTTCCCAGTGCCCAGCAGAAGATTCTGATGCTCCAGCATGTGCAGAGGAGTTGTTCTGGGGACTCCCTGCCCAATTCTGTTCATCCCAGGGCGAGGAAATGCAGAAACTGTGGATGCACTCAGGACACGTCCCTTCCGAGGGGCACGCTTATTTGCATGGCAATGAGGATGGTAATGAGCCCCTTGTCTTCATATGTACACAAGGTTCTCGCTGGGAGAAAACCAGCCAGAGTTGAAATTCAGAGAAGTCATAGCTTCTTTTCCTTTTCAATTTGTGTTTTCTATCTGGATGCAAAAGACAAAGCACATAGTACAGAAACTGCATTGTGCCCTGAACTGCTGAACACCAGATAGAAGTTATTATTTTAGCAACCATCAGGCTGTTTAGGCAAGCACCAATCTCTTAAGTAGCCTGGCTCAAGCAGTGATTACCAGTTGAATTTAAAAAGAGACCCTTCTTTTATTTGCTTTGTTACCATAGTTTTTTGTTTTCTTTTCCTCTCTCTTGAAGCTAAGAAATGCTCCATAGAGCTGCAGCTCCTCTGAGAACCCAGAGCACGCTGCAAACAGGGTTCACAGAAGCACTGTGGAGAGTTCATGGTGATTAACCCTTTCTCTGTGGGGAAACTGAGGCAGGAAGCCTCTCCCTGACAAGGGAACAAGCAGGACTGCATGTTTGATTAAATCCTTCATCTTCCTAGGTCCCATTTCCTGACACATCCACGGTTCCTGTAGGTCCAGGGGGCACTGTGAAAAAGGGGGATGGTCAAAGCCATGGTGGGATGAAGACTGGAGATGTTATAGGCAAAAGGGGAATGGCTCCAGCACCACTGGTGTGGTTCAAAGATCCTGGCTGTCACTTTGGAAGATGTTTCTGATGGGGTTAAAACCAAAACTGGTGATTCCAGAAGCCCAGAGCCAGCCTGCAAATCTCAGCACTGTCCCCAAGAGAATAAACTCCTTTAATCTAAAACAACCAAGGTGGGGTCAGTGCCTCTACAAAACTGACCCCTGTGTTAAAGGAGCTGACAGGGAAGATGGAGAGAGACTATTTATGGGGGCATGGAGTGACAGGACAAGGGGAATGGCTTCAGACTGATAGAGGACAGGGCTGGATGGGATATTGGGAAGGAATTGTTCCCTGTGAGGGTGGTGAGGCCCTGGCACAGGGTGCCCAGAGAAGCTGTGGCTGCCCCTGGATCCCTGGAAGTGTCCAAGCCAGGTTGGACACTGGGGTTTGGAGCACCTTGGGCTAGTGGAAGGTGTCTCTGCCCACAGCAGGGAGTTTGGGACGAGATATCTTTCATGTCCCTCCCCACCCAAATGTCCCCCCATTCCCTGATTCCATGATCATTTCTCCACTCAAAGCCCTGGCTGCACCAGCAGCAGCTGCTCATGAAGCTGCAGGGGCCTTCATTCCCAGGAAATCTTCCCAGCACAGAGATGTCACTCCTGCTCACTGTCCTTGCCCCATGCCCCCCTGAGCACACACTGACATCCATCCTGAGCTCCTGCCTGCCTTGGGTGGGCATTCAGCACATCTTTAACTGCTTTGCCTGCCCAACCACCATAAAATGCTGGGATCTGTCTGTCTTCTCCCACATACCCGTGATGGAGCTGCCCACGCACCTAATGTTGAGTCTGGCTGAAATTTCTCCACTTTTTAGGGATGGGTGTAGGAAAGCTTTGCTGGAACCAGTTCTCTGAGTTTCCTGAAGGGTGGTTTTCCTCCAGCAAACAGCCCAGGGAGCTTTTATGTAGTGTCAGTCACGAATTTCTGGCTCCTGGCACCTGTTTTACTGTTTTGACACCGGGCTTAGGAGCGCAGGGGAAAATAATAATGATATCTGGATTTAATGTTATTTACTAAAATACAAATTAACGCTCAGTCACATGGTGGCAGGATTTGTCATCTGGAGCTAAAATTAAGAGAAATTAAGGCTGAGTCAGAAAGTTATTTCAGATCCAAGTGGGGAATGCTGTTCTGAGGCCATGTGGGAGCAACACTGACATCTTCTGGCTCAAAAAAAAAAATCTATCTTCAGCTTTTTCACCAGGAAAACCACTGGGAAACTCTGCAAAAATCTAAGGAGGTATTGGGTGGGCAAAAGTGTTTTAAAGTATCAAGGACAAGCTTTGGGGCAGTGAATATTATCTGAGTTCACTTTTACAGCCCCCCTTAGCATCACCACAGAATCTGAACAGAGGATGTGTGACACTGATGACCCAAAATACACGAGAGGAGGAGGAGGAGCAGGGGTGTTGCTGTTCTCTCAGTGCAGGTGACAGGGCTGTGGCCATGCTTTATGCTGTAAGTCTGGAGGCAGTAAATTACCTGAAAGTCACATTCCACTATCCCAGGTTACTCCAAGCCACATCCAACCTGGCCTTGGATGGTTCCAGGGGTGAGGAGACACAGTTTCTCTGGAAAACCTGTTCCAGTTTCTACACATCTCACCTCTTCCAGCCTGGACTGACCACCACCTTTATCATCCTCACTCTGCCACTTCCCTGTTGCTGTTGGAGTGGACACAACATACAAATAGAAGACTACATTTCAGAAGGCTAATTTCTGTTTATTACAACTGCTAGTTGTCTTTTATATCCTCTACAAAGTTTACACTTTATTCATTGGTTACAATTGATTGATTGATTAAATTGATTGATCAGTTAAATCAACATAATGTTCATTGGTGTAAAACCATCTCCACCTCTGTTTTTCACAAAACTTTTCTAAAAATACTTTTCCCAGCTGCAGGTTTTCTTCTATTTATCTCCTTCTTCTTGTTCTCTCCTCATCCTCCAGGCCAACAGCCTTGATAAGATTCTTTTCAGATATAACCCCTATTCATTAACCCTCTCTGGATCACAGACCAGCTGTGAGCCCCCTTCCATACTCCCTCTTGTGGATGCTGGTGAGAGCCAGGGAAAACAGCATTTTGAGTTTTTCCAAGCTACTCGAAGGAAAACAGAAGGGAAAGAATTAATAACAAAGTTTAGCAGCTGGTGTTGTGGACAGGAGGAGTGCGTGAGGAGCGTGATGTTTTGTTAGGAGCATGTTCACAAGAGGTGTTGCCTTCCTTGGACCACTGCGCTTATTCTACCCTTAGTTCAGAGAACCAGTCTATAAAAATGTGCCTACTCCTGCAGTAAATTGCTTCTCTGCTTTCTGAATGAAGCCTGTGTTGCTGTATTTTTTCGCCACTCCTTAGCCTCACAGCAACACCCTCTAACCACATTTCTTTCCAATCTCTCCCAAGGTTCTTTCTTCCCGTCCCTGAAGCCTTCTGAAATCGTCTTCAAGATCATTTTCTGGCTGGGCTACTTCAACAGCTGCGTGAACCCCATCATCTACCCGTGCTCCAGCAAGGAGTTCAAGCGCGCGTTCATCCGGCTGCTCAAGTGCCAGTGCCGCCGGCGGCGCCGGCCCCTCTGGAGGGTCTACGACCACCACTGGAGAGGGGCCTCCATCAACAGCTCCGTGCAGGACTCAGACACTGACCTAAGGCCCAGGATTAACACCCTCAACAGCTCCTTCATATTTAACTCCTCCTTCCAGGAGAGGGCCGGTAAGAGGCGAACGCTCAGCTTCAAGGGCTGGAAAATGCTGACGCCGTTCCAGAAACCAGCGTCCACGCAGCTGAAGGAGAAGATGAACAGCCTTTCTAACAAAATCCGGGGTGGCTCCAGCAAAGGGGGGGTGACAGCCACCTACAAGACAGAGGTGGAGTCTGTCTCCATCGGGATCCCTCATGATTTCACGGAAACCATCGACTACCAGACCCATGACTTAACAGACTGCTGTGGGCTGAGAGAAACAGATATTTGAAGCCTCTGGGGCAGCTGTCGATGGTTTCTTTAGAGGTATCCAGCAGAAACATGGAGGGATACCACCTGTGGGTCGGTCAGGCGGGCTGGAAGCAGCAATCAGGTATTAAATGCAGTTGCCCAAAGGTTATCCAAGCATCCCCCACGCGGAGCTCAGCCCCTTCTGTGGGATTATGGGTTCCTCAAATTAGAGCCAATGGCATGTCCCAATCTAACAAGCCACAGCAGGAGGAGAAGGTGTGGATATGGCCTTAGGGCAAGAGCTGTCTCCTCTGGTGGATGGTTGTCTTTGGCTTTGGAAGAAGCTGTGCAATTAAGGGAAACCAGGATGTCTCCTTTGCCTTAAAAACACCGTGGTGAAATCTAATGGAAAGATTGAATCCCAAAAGTTGCCAACCCTGCCTTAGTACATGTGGTCATGTTTCCATCCAGAGGCAGCATCCAGGAAGGACACTGCCAGGCAGTGATCCTTTATGTGGGTGGGTTGGGAGCTTGTAGGTCCTGGACAGGACATCCAGACGAGGCCTTGGCTTTGGAGGGAGAGCAGACTGGGTTATTCCCAAGCAAGGTGGAGGGATCCCAGCTCTCAGTCATCATCTCTGCAGTGGCCACAGCTTTGGCCCTTCCACATCACCTGGTTTTAGGCCAGAGGAGTATTCCAGATGTGTGCACTGTGTGCAGGTCTCCCTCCTCTAATTCCATCCTGTGAAGCATTTCACGTTTCACTTTCCAGTGAAACACTTGCAACCCACCTTGCTTTGGTGAACATCCATCTGTGACACACAGAGAAACCAGCTCCTTTTGGTGTCAGTCATCCCCAGACTTTCCTGTCCCCTTCTTTGCTCTCGTTGTTTTTCTCAAAAAAGCGCAGGATAAAAATGCATCCCAGGGGCTTCACTCAGGACTACAGGAAATGGCCTGAAGTTGTGCCAGGGAAGATTTAGGCTGGATATTCGGAAGAATTTCTTCAGTCAAAGGGTATTCAGGCACTAGACCAGGCTTCCCAGGGCAGTGGTGGAGCCACCATCCCTGGAAATGTTCAAAAGACACACGAATGTGGCACTTGAGGAGATGGTTTAGTGGTGAGTCGGGTGCTGCTGGGTTAATGGTTGGATTCCACGATCCAAGAGAGATCTTTTCCAACCTTAATGATCCTGTGATTCTGTGATGTAGGTCCTCAGCCAGCCTGTGCTGTGGCTCAGGAAAGGTGGGGTGGCTGAGTTTGGAAGTTTGCATTTTTACTGCCCATAAAGTCCAAGCTGAAGTGGAGCTGAGGTGCAGTTGGAGCTCCCTCAAATAGAGGGATCTCCTCCCCAGTCAGGGTCACACTCGTGATCCTTCTCTCAAGGGACTTCCCACGTGCTTGATGCTCCAAACTTTTGGTGGCTGCCAACAATTGCCTTGGTTGTGTCAAGAGTAATGACAATTAAAATGGGATTTTCCCCTGCTCACAGTCCCAGAGTGTGAGCATCCCTCAGGAAGTCACCACAGCTTCCTCCAGAAAATTAAAGGAGCTGAAGCCATGGCAAGCCCACCTTGACCAGGCAGCTCAGGAAATGGTCATCCAAATTCTACTTGGCCGTGGATTGCAGGCACTGGTTTGAAAATTCAGAGTGGTTTAAGAAAATTTCAGGAAATGAGCCCCAAGGAGCAACCATCAGGTTAAGCCATGAGCAGGAGTAGGTGATGGAGGCAGAGGAGGGTTTTGAGGTGAAGTGCCTCAAGCCAGGGAATTAAAGAACAGGAATGTGAAGTCCTGAGGGGTGGAAATGTGGCACTGAACGTGTGAAAGGGTGGAAACTTCCCATGAGGAGCCTTTCATGGAAGTGCCTGCAGCACATCCAGCTCATCCCACTAAGGGTGGCTGCCAAAGGAGGATGAAAGGCTCCCAGGCACAGCAAGGAGAATTTCACCTTTCTTTATGATGTTCTGATTTGCTTTAAAGGAAAATAAATCAGGACAGAAGCTGGACTTTTAAATTTTTTTTATTCCTTTGTGCAGTGCATATTGAGACAAGATATCTGGAGTTGGCCCTGTCTCAAACGCCCTTTACTTGATGCAGGACAAACTGGACCAATTATTACAACAAATACCAGCAGATTTTGTCCAGATATTTTCCTTCCAGCAGAAAATCCCAGCACTTACACTGAACTCAGACTCACACCCACCTGCAGGCTCTCCAGCATCTGCAAAAGCAGCCTGAGGTTGCCAGCTCTGCCCTACCAAAGCAGGGAACTTCCCAACACCCCATGGGAATTTCTGTGGGGTAATACATTTTTTTTTTCCCTGTTTATTTGGTTTTGAGGGGAAGTGAAACCTTACAGTGATGGTGGGGTGACACAAAAAGTCATTTTGTAGTGTGAGGGCTGCAGCTGCCACTGGTTTCCTGGGTGTTTTTTGGGATCCTGATGGGAGGCACTGGGGATGTGGCAGAGAAGGGACCAGGGAGAGGACAGATCATGACCAGACAGACAGACAGACAGACCCACTTCACTGTGTTTATATAAATGTGTCATTCCCAAAATACCAGGCATTCTACAAATGGGCAAACATCCCTCTATAAATGAAGATTTAGCAAATGCTGGCAAGCAGTGCATTCCCATAAATGACCTGGTATTACTGCTTACACATCTCTCTGATCTTTTCAATACAGTTTTTTGGGGTTTTTTTTTTCCAGTATTGAAATATTTGTTTTTACAACCTCCAGCCCCTTGAAAGCTTTTTGAGAAGGAAAAAAAAGATTAGTCTAGAGGTTTGCTGCCTCTCCATCCCAAGTCTTTACAGACCTACAAGAGAGAAAATAAAGTCTGTTTAAGCACACACTACACACACACAAACATGAATGCCCAAATTCTGGCTCAGTTACTCACTGTGTTTGATCTGGCCCCAAGAGATGCCCTGGAAGGTGCTGTAGGAAAGCCTTGAGCTCTGCTGTGCTGCATTCAGGCAAAATACTTGATTTTCAGCCTGCTTTCATTTGGCATCTTGCATCAGAAGCAGTGCCAGGACTGGACTCTGAGGCTGCTCATGCAGAGTTTCATTTAGAGGAGGCAGGGCTGTCTTTGCTGGCAGGGAAGAAGGAAAATCTTGTATGAAATATGACCTGAGTGTCTGGAATTGAGCATTTCTCCTTGAATCCCTTCATTTCCAAGCTCTCCCAAGTTTGGAAGAACGGGCTCAGACTTTCAGGAGTTAAAATTCAGTCTGATCCCACAGATTTCCCTGGATCCACAAGGGTGTGACCAGCTGAGGGAATGGCCCTATTCCAGCAGATTTTCCAGGCAGGCCATTTCCCAAAGCACCTGCACCTCAGTTATCCATCAGATCCCACCTCATTGCACTGGCTCCATGTCTCAGTTGCATTGTCAGACCTTGCTGCTTCAAGGAACCAAGAGTTGAGAGTGGAAAATGAGTTTTTGTGCCACTGGACTCTCCCAAGTCCATGAGGGAAGGAAGGTCCCTGTCAGCCTGAGCTGGGCTGCAGCTGGGTTGCATTACTATTGTTTACAGTGTGTATATAAGTGTACATTTTCTTTAGCAGAACATTGGAATTTTTTATGTATAGATTTTTATTTTTCATCCCCAGATGTATTAGCCAGAGTATTTCTGTTTTGTGTTTCAGGTTCTGCCAGATTGATGTAAGCTCTATGAAACAGAATGCACATATTTTTGTTTGTTTGTACCNATTTATTAGCCAGAGTATTTCTGTTTTGTGTTTCAGGTTCTGCCAGATTGATGTAAGCTCTATGAAACAGAATGCACATATTTTTGTTTGTTTGTACCAAATACATGCACAAACCTGTCTAAAACGTTGCTGTGAATTGTTGCTGTGTCTGATTTTTAAAGCAAGGGTTATGGGGAATGAAGGAGGGAGGAAGAAAAACCTGAAAATTATCCACTCTTGCCTATTTCTCTAAGACACTTCTTTGCAATTTCACAAGGATAATCTTTCCCACTTGGAAGAATTAATGATAAAAGCAAGTCAGGAGAGGACACTCTCAGTTATTTGACACACAGGCATGAAGAGATTGCACCAGCCACATCTAGAGTGCAAGTTTAGATTAGATATTAGGAAAAAAATTCTCCCCAGGCCTTCTAGTGAGGCCCTGGCACAGGGTGCCCAGAGAAGCTGTGGCTGCCCCTGGATCCCTGGAAGTGTCCAAGGCCAGGTTGGACGGGGCTTGGAACAACCTGGGACAGTGGAAGGTGTCCCTGCCCATGGCAAGGGGTGGAATGAGATGATTTTTTAAAGTCCCTTCCCACCCAAACCATTCTGGGATTCTTACCTACATGATGCTTATCTGAGACTGGAAAGGGAAAGGCAAAAAGGAAAATCAAAAGGAGATCTAACATGAAAACACTGGATCAATATTTGATAGCAGTCAGAGGTGAAAATTACTTCAGGGAATTTGGGGGAAGAAATGGAGAATGGAAGAGATTGAAAATGACCTTGAAAATATCTTTGCACCTCGGAATATGTGTAATTTGACTCCTGTTTGCTTTTGTGATTATTCAGTTCAGAAAGGGTAGAATGGACTTAGAATGGACAGAAGTTGCAGGACAGTTTCCACCCAAGGAACATTTAAATTAAATGGCATTCTGATGACTGAGAATTCAGGTCTGTCAAACCAGGAGTGCTGGGGAGAAGACAAGCAGTGAATGAGTGTCCCCTGCCTCTCGTGGTACAAGAACTAAGTGACATCAAACCCAATTATCAAAATGAACTGAGCGAGGTCAATCTTCACGTGGCTCATTTTTTAACTCATCACCACGAGATATTTCATCTGTCTGGAGGGGTTAGAGAAGCAATTAGGTGACAAATAAACCCATCCAGGGCAGTTTGAAAGGTTTTTATGATCTCTGAGCTGAGAAACCCCTGAGGCAGCAATTGCTGTCAGCTGGGAGGATATTTCAAGGGATATTTCACTCTTGGCCGTTTCTTTCCTTCTATTCCTTCTGAATTTCTTGTGGTCAAAAATGGGATGAGAATGACCCAGGCTCTGGGAAGGTCCAGCCCTCTCTGTGTCCCTTCCCTCTGCACACTGGCAGCCCATCCATGCCAAAATTGCACCCTGCACTTTCCTGCCCACAGGCAAAAATAAGAGAAAAAAAATGGAAAACTCGAGTTTAGTCCCAAAAGTACATCAAGTCGTCAAGGTCAAAAGATTTTGTCATCCCTGTGTGCCAGTTCCTGCTGGGAAATTTCTTTTGCCACTCAGAAATTGAAAACCATCCCCTCAATAAACTGACTTTTACAATCTTTTTGCAGGATAAAGATTGTCCCAGAGGTTTCCCAGGAAACTTCAGCATCCTGAGCAAGGATTTAAATTTCTTTTTCCACTTTCAGATTTCTAAGGGTCCTTCCCTGGAGATTCACCACACACACAGTGACATTAAGGTAGCTGACAAGTGGCTTTGGGTTTTTTTGGTATCTTCTGTGGGATTCAAATCATGGATTAAAACCTCTCCATTCCAATGAGGTGTCTGTGAATGAGTCATGTTTAAATTCCATTAGAGGGAAAAAATAATTAATTCTGGGTTGAATATGGACATTTGATGCCATTTGAGCCATTCCAGGCTATCCAAGAAATCTGCAGGCATCAGGAAATAGGAGAGAAAACCTGATGAGCAAAACTGGCTCAGGATCATGGCAGAAGGACCTGGGCTGGGTCAGTAAATATTGGGTGAGCAAAGGTAAGTAAAGAACAGAGAGAAACTGAAAGTCTGATCCCTCCTTTTCTCTTGGAATATACAGGATATTTGCTGTGGTTGAACTGATCACCAAAAGTCAGGTCAGGATGGACCACAGCACCCAGCCCCTGTGACATCCTGGGACACAGAGCCCTGCCAGGAGGCTGGGAAGGAAAATCAGAAAGTGTAAATTACATTGAGGTCCCAGGAGACCATTAGAAGGGAAAAAAAAAAGAAAAAAAAAGGGTTTCTAGCAAAAGTGTTCAGTTCAATAAACCAAATTTGCCCCAACGTGAAAATTTCCTGTGTGCAATGCTGGTGGATAACACATCATGGGGCTTGAGGGAAGGGTGTAGGCATCAAAAATAGGTTTTATGCACTTTCTGAGAACATTATC